TCTCTCTCTCTCTCTCGCTCTCTCTCTCTTACTAATACACATGTATGTTTACGCATTTTATGAATACATACATTTTTTCGGCAAGATTTTTTTTTAAAGTCAATTCAAAGAGATATTAGAGGAAACATGGTTATGCGTGTGGGGTGGGCGTGCTGTTATGAGAGATGATATGATAATAAGAATATATTACAATAATTAGAAGGAAAAAAAAGGTTTTTCTTACACTGTCTTTCGTTTTAACACAATTTAGGGGGAAAAAATGTTCCCCGGCCTGGAGTGGTACGGGCATGTAAAATGTTCCTTTTTTTTCAAAATCTTTCTGTTTTATTTGTTTCATTGGTGAGCGGCTGGGGTGTGTATTAAAAAATTAGTAAAGACAGTGTTCTTTTTAATAAAAAATCAGTTCTTATTTTCAATTCCCATTTGTATTTTCTAAAAAGAACTTTCTCGGGCGTGCACTGCGTTGTACTTGTCCTAACTCGTGAGTCACCTGCAACTAGAGGTAGAAAAAAAAAACTTCCGAAGACTAGAATTTAATTCTTAAGGACTGTTGACTAATTTCAGAAAGGAAGAAAATGCACCACACATAACACATCTGTGGTGTGGTGGTTTGACCTTTAACCTTTGTACTCAAAGAGCACGAGTTCGTTTCTCCAGTAGTCGTCATTATTTTGCATAGACTCTATGTACGATCTTACAATGAGAGGCATGGTCCTACAATGTCGTGACCTAAATCGTGACGATGAGCGTACAAATGTCACTGTGTTACTCACTTCGAAAACACAAAAAGGTTAACAGAACACACACTGCACATACCTCGTAGCTCCGACATCTAGATCTACATATACAAACACACCAGCGACATAATACCACGCACTCGCGCACAAAGCTGAGAAGTCATGACTACAGATGCTGTAAACATATCTGCCCCTTCTGTGTAAGAATAAACATTGTCCAGATCACCCACATGGAAGATAACCATCCCAGATCGAAATGTTCACAGAGGTCCCAGCAGGAAAAAAAAACAAGCTTTGAAAACTGCGTTGTTTGTTCACCTCTCGGCTGTAGGGGGAGGGGGGGGGACACACACACTCAAAAGCCGAGAGCAACGAGAAGTGAAAATATGGTAAACGTATTATTTCCGCTGCTTTTTTCTTGAATTGTCCGTTTTTTGCGTCAAATCCAACCCCATTGACTTCCCTTCTCGACGAGACGTGCTCCCTTAAAGGATGCGATAAATTGAGGGGAGACAAATTCGATAAATCAATTTTGCAACACAACATTCTTACGGCTTGCTTGGGGACGGGGCCGCGAAAAGGGGCAAAGGGGGGGGGATAAAGGAGAGGGGGGAATACAAAGGAGGGGGGAAGAAAAGTACGACATGTAGTTTTAAAGGGAGATAAAACTGGTGAAAGTGAAGACAGGGGTTATGAGGTTGAAAACGTATTTGAATAGTTGGATGGATAGAAAGAATGAATGAATGAATGGATGGGTGTATGGATTGATGGATGAATGGATGGATAGATGGATAGATAGATAGATAGATATACATGAAAAAGGTGGAGACGGTTGTAGGAGACTACTAGATCTATGGGGCATGGAAATAGATGCATGACTTTGACAAGGAGTTTGACAAGGAGTTTCACATAAAGCTACGATCATTGAGTCGAGGTTTGACCAATCATAGAGGAGATGGAAAGCAAAATCTATGCGAACGATATTATAGGCTACGTGATAATATGCTTTAACCCTATCCGTACGCCCTGAGATCATTTTGTACCCTCTGATTGCATTCTTCACATTTTAGAATACTTCTAGTACGCAGATCTCTTTGAAACTTTCAGTATTTCTCAAAAAAATCATTTTGACAGTCTGCTATGCAAAGGGTACGGATCGGATTAACGAGTAAATTTCCTCTTCGGAAAGTTGTGGCACAGAGTTTCCCACGTCGTATGGATACGATAGTAAAACACGACGTACTGATAGGGTTAAAACAAATTTCTGTCCCCTCATTAAACTAACATCATAGATCTAGTTCTTTTTAGAAATGCCCCAGCTTCAATTGTGTGTCTGTGGTTAACTCTTTGAGTTAAGCGCATTCTGGTAATTTGGCAACTCATTAATACGTCGCTCTGTTTTTATAGCAGTATAAGCATTACTTCGTGAATCATGCAGATTCTGATATTCCAAGTGAGAGGATAGAGGGCGCTACTGGTACATTCAACTACAGCTGTACGTTCACTCTGTCTGCGGTTTCTGTGTGTCTGTCTTGCTGTTTCTGTGTGTCTATCTTGCTGTTTCTGTCTGTCTGTCTTGCTGTTTCTCAGCACTAAAAGACTTCAGGCTATAAAGGAAGAGGAAGGCCACACAAAAGGTGGATTAAGGGTAGTGTTAAGGAAACCCTGAGAAAACATAGTATCACTACTGAAAGAGCTGCGGGGCTGGCCTACCATAGAAAACTGCATCTCTCCTCGACGCTAAACTACAACCTAGGATGAAAAAGTAAAAGTAAAAGTAAGTAATTGTGTCGATGAATCTTTCTTTACTTTAAAAAAAAAAAAAGCTAAAACTTAGAAAGGCTGTCAGAAACACGCATAATAATGTAAAATATGTAAATGTGTATGTCTCATGTGTATTTGACGGGCCCAATAGTACCGTAACATTGACTTTAGTCTGACCCTGATCTGATGTACGAGTCTGCCTCGTTCTTAGAGAACAGAGGGAAAGTAAAGAAAATATCTATCTATCTGTCTGTCTGTCTGTCTGTCTGTCTGTCTGTCTATCTATCTATCTATCTATCTATCTATCTATCTATCTATCTATCTATCTATCTAACACTGACTTTCGTCTGCCCCTGGTCGCATGTGTGAGTCCGCCACGTTCTTACAGAGCTGTAGCGAACCCCGGCAGTAAGAGGGTGTACCCCAGGGGAAATACCGAGACGCTGGAAGTCTTTCCAACGGGGGAATTGGATTTGGCTCCTTTAACAAGCTGAGGGTCGAGTCTTCACACCGCAGGATCATGTGCTTTTGTGTCACGACGCGGAGGAATCAGGCGCTCGTCAACTTTTGGGCATGTGGAGTTATTGATATCATCTTAAAGCTTG